CATGTTGTGTAAAATAGAGAATGTATTACTATACAGATACATCTAGAAAAATGTGCAATCAATATTGGTACTCTTTACAGCACAGATACGCAGCATTGTACATAAAGCCTCAAATCCTTACAGGATGGAAGGATAAAGAAGAAAAAAGAGGAACTTTAAGGCTCCAATGACAATGTTCACCTAAGCGTTTTTTTTTTCTTTTTAATATATATTTTAAATACAAAGCTGTGTTACCAAAATAATTACCACCTAACATGTTGAAACTGTGCATCCTGGACCTCAACAAAAACAGCATCCAAGTCTCATCAAACATTTCTACTTAGTTCTAAAGGTCAGTCTGTATACTTTTTTTATTATTTGGTCTACTGACGTCAGAGTTAAAGGAAAATCATTTTAGTCAGAAGTAATCAGTAATGTGTAACACATTTTTGTAATTATGGGAAATAAGTGGATGCCCACACAAAGCAGCAGCCTACGGAAACTTTGGCATTTGAGGATTTTTGATCATGTTTTGGGATGTTTTAGATGTGGACAAATAGGGCAGTTTTTATATATTTCTGGTGGAAATTACAAAACTGTCCCATCTGTTAACTTGACAGACTCCTTTTTAACAGACAAACAGCTGATTTCAGTCTATATTCATGTTGCTAGATATAAAATATCCAGCTCTTTTTTCTTTTCTTTTTAATCTGAACTGATTAATGCTTATTGCTGAAAAACAATTACTCGTCTTCTACTTATTATATGGGTCTGTTCATAACTGGACTCAATTATGGACATGCTTCGTTTAAGATGTTCGAATCCCAGATGTTTTGTTTGCCCGCTGTGTGAAAAGCTCTGCTTTCTCAGAGAGTCTGGCCTCAGTGCGTCTGCTGTCTCCCACATCCCCCACCTCTGTGGGACACAGGATGCAGTAAAACAGCAGTGCTACAGTGCACACATTGTCAGCATGCCAGTGTGAGATCTGTCAGGCATGTCAGTGAATCTGAAAAAAAACAACAACAGATTTTTGTATGAACTAAATATTTTTCTTCTTTTTTGTTTTACAGATTATTTTTTCAGAATGAGCATTTTCCATTTTCCTTTGTGTGGCACTGTGTGTATTTGAGTATGTGCACCTAAAGAGGTTGTAAACGATCGATTGCGTGAAACCGAATCATTGATTAGTTGATTTCCAATAATTTCCCCTCCTCCATCCCATTTTTTTTTTACCCAGTTGCCCTTCAGCAGCCAAAACAAAGATCTCCACTCAAAATGCATTAATGCTGGAGCTTTGTGTACAGTAAGACAATACACAGCCTTGTCAAAACAAAGAAAGGACAGTGTTTGGGGTGAAGAGGTCACAGAAGCATGGCTTGGGTTATTTGCCCTACAACAGGAGTTGTTTGAATTATGACCACATATGGGACAAAACAGGGCAAACAGACTTTGGAGTGCGGAGGTGAGGAGCCTGCACATTTATCTCTAGCTTCTGTGGGGGTTTTTTTTTAAGTTGTGAAAGATGCTAAACAATCAAAATTTTCTTCATTATTTATGTTTTTTTGTGTATCTGAATTTCAGAAATATTTCAAGAAAAGTTGGAATAACGAAAGCAAGAAACACAGTTGTTAGTTTTCGATGAACAATGATGATATGTGTGTGTTTAACACGTTAAACTCGATCATCAGTACAAAAACAGGGGAAAGAAACAAAGGGGAAAATCAGAAAAAAATATTTTTATCAAAGTAGGTTATATACAAAGCACCCTTAAACAAGTCCGGTATGAGTATTGTTTGAAAAAAACTCTAAACTAAAAAGCAAAGCAGTTGACAATATTAGAGATGATGTCATTTATTCAGTTCTGACCAACATTATTATTCTGATGAGTTTGTCATTATGGCTCCTAAATGTTGTTAGTAAATAATAAAGAAGGACCTTTTAAAGGAATGTCTTCATTGATGATATGATTTTTAATGTGGTTCTTGAATATTATCCGGGTATTTTATACAGACACAGGGCCTTTCCTCCCACAGAATCCTTAAATTTGATTATTCCTCCTGTTTCTGAATAACTACTTACATTATCTGTTGATCCCATGACAAGAACCGTGTTGTTTTCATGACTCAGACTTGGGTTACTTCCTCTCATGAAGCCAAGATGTCATTTGTTTCCTAATCCTGGCAATTAAAGTGTTTTGGGTGGCTTGGGTGGGTTTATCTGTAGGGTTTCGACTCATTTTGAAAGATTAATTTGTTTAAAAAAAAATCTATTTTACAATGATTCTCTTTTCTGTTCCATGTTATCCTCCATATATGAGAGGGCCTTTCTGCTGTAAAGAGGTGAGGCCCTACATGGAAATTCTTTAAAATCAGTGGAATGTTATTTTACAAAATCATACAATTATTTTTCTTGATTGAAAAAAATGCCTGAGACAAACTGATCCTTGAATGCTATTGAAACGCTCCAAAGAATTCACACGAAAAAACACAATTCCTCAACAATGCCAACCTGTTTTTTCATCTGTATGCTTAAAGAGCTTTTTTTTTTATCTAGAGGTTTAAACAAACAGTTTGGCTATCAATTAGATGAGAACTGGTTCTGATAGATCAGTGTCTATATTAATTTTCTGAAAAAAAGTGCAAAATCTAAAAGATGAGCAGTTTGCTCAAAAATAGGGAACTGTCTTTAAAAAAAAGGAAAAACACACAGTCTGTCACTGTGATTAATGAGCTTTTCAGTGATTTCTCATCAACTGTGTTTCTCACTGTGTACATTCCTTGCAGCAGTGTTTAATTTGGCACTGGGAAACAAAGACAGTGACCAAAGATGTGCAGGAGAGCTGCTGGCAGCAGCAGGCGCTTCATTAAAGAAGGTCTGGAGTGTAAAAATAGTGTAACCTTGTCACGAGGACACGCTCAATCTCCTGAATGAAGACTTGAGTGACAGTGGCATTGCCTCCAACAAACAGCTGCTTGCACAGCTGCATGTGTTGAGTTTAAGCTTTGCTTATGTTGTAGCAACCCAACTTAGTTTTTACAGTCTCCCAGGATGGAGAAAAGAAAAGACAGGAAAAGAGAACGTTTAGACTGCTGATGTCTGGTAGGTTTTAAGGCTTTCCAACTAGTTATATCTGAATTGTAGCTCAGAAGTCCCAGATACACAACAATGTGTGTTAACAAACCAAGACAAGCTTGAATGCAAGTGACTACATATGTTAGTGTGTGTTAGATGATGTCACCATCTAACACATCCAGTCTGACAAAAACCAACAGTCTGACCAGACTTGCTCTGTGACTAGTCTTTCTTTCTTTCTTTTTTTTCTTCATTGCTTTTTTTATGTTCAAGAAAAAACAAAAAATGGAAAAAGAAATTCCAGACTTTAACAGAGAGTAACCCCAACAGTGGGTGTTTAATAGGAAACAGAAAGAAGCAGTGGCTTATCCAGTCCTGCTAAAATTGTTCTGTTTTTATATGTATGTGCTTTTATATATTTATATACACATGCAGACAAACACATAAAGAAGATTAAAGAGTCAGAGCCACTGAACACTATGCTTCAAATCTGTGATGGTCCTGGTGCTTTTCCACATGTTTATTAGGTTGTTGTTGTTGAAGTGGTCTTAGATTCGCTGCTCTTACCTGAACTTTGCTTGCTGGATTCACATTTTTAGTTCTCCCAGAGTCCTGCTGCAGGCCAGTCCATCAGCTGATCTGTTGGCTGCATCATGGACATTCTGCAGGGTCCAAACTGTGCTGGCTTCTGGTTTGGAAAATCATTGATACTCTTCATAGGTAGGACAACATTAGTGCAAAAGTGAATAGAGGACAGTGTAGCGATGCATTTTCTCCCAGACCAGCATCTTCTTTTAAAACTGCACAGGCTATGCTCACTGCAGTCCTGTAGGGCTGAGCAAGGCACTTTAGTCTAAAGTTGAATGGTTCTAATGCTTCAGATGATTGTAGGCAAGGATCAGGAGATTTAATCTAACATTCCAAAACTGAGGAGCTGGTTAAGCCTTAGATGCTCTTGGAATGTTGCAGTAGACCTGGTCTGATGTACTGTGGTTGCAGTTAAGCCCTGCCATAATGAATGAATCAATGCTTGTGTTTGTGTGTGTGTGTGTGGGGGGGGGCTACTACTGATATTTTCATGCTTTACGACAGCACATCTATATTTTCATCATATTAATACATAGTCCAGATCTTGGTATTAAAAGTGAGGAGGAGCAACTATTGTACCGTTTATTTTTTATAATTTACAAATGTGTCTTTATCTATGCATGTGTGTGTGTGTGTGTGTGTGTGTGTGTGTGTGTGTGTGTGTGTGTGTGTGTGTGTGTGTGTGTGTGTGTGTGTGTGTGTGTGTGTGTGTGTGTGTGTGTGTGTGTGTGTGTGTGTGTGTGTGACCACCACAAGCCAAGTTAAAGAACATCCCCCTCTGTAGCAGACAATCCTGAATTATTCATGTTTAAACTGACTGGTCTCCATTTGAGCCTTGATGGATGTTGAAGCCCTTAGTTTCAGATATTGTCACTGCATGTGGATGCATTTTAATAAAGAACAGCAGTAACTTGCAGTGACCATATTTGTAATTTTGTGCTTTTTTTCTCTCTCTCTTTTTTTTTTGCTTTGTTTTTAACATTTGTTTTGACACTTGCTGTTGATAGATTTGAGCCATTTTTATAATTTGGAATAGGATGAAAGAAAATGACTCTGTTGAATCAGATCATTTATCTTCTATTTCCCATCAATCAAATCAATAGACACACAACTCGTCTTTGAAGAAACACACAAGGAGAGATAGATGTATAACAAAAAAAGAACTGCAACTGGGGAAGCACGTAGCTAAAAGATCACATTATTCTCTTCCAGGAACATAATTATTTTCATCTTAATATTTGGTTTGATATTCAAATTGCCACATGTTGCTTCCTCATGCTTACAGTAAAATCAGCATATCAGCCATTTTGAAAAACAGAGGGAGCAAGCAATAAAGTAATGAGAATGGGTTTGTGTTGCAGAGTGCTCTCCATAGTTCTCCATGGGGCCTTATGCAGGCGTTGGAGCAGCAGGTGGGAGATATGAAGATTGACATCGATGACGGCTGCTGTGAGGGAGCTCAAGGAGAAACCGGTGACAGTCGGCCGAGTTCTGGTAACTCCTGCTGTTTAAAAGGTTTCTGTTTCCTGAGATCTATTAGCTGTGTAATTACATTTTATTCTAAATGAAAATGCTCTTTGTAAGGAGTCAAGATGTTATCAATAATGCAGCTAAGAATGGCTCTGTATTTTTGTCTCTGTAAAGTGCCTTGAGATGACATGTGTTGGGAAGTGGCGCTATATAAATAAACTGAATTGAACTGAATTTTTAAGTTATTGTTTTACCAAAAACTATTTTCTTGATAGTAGTCAGACAATAATGATGATAGAGTTTATAAATGTAGAGGGGTTTTGTTTTTTTTTAGATGGTGGTTCAACACTATTTGTCTCTAGCAGGAAGTTTTTAAGAAAATGTGTATAATGATGAGATATGATAAATAAGAAATGTCTTCTTGGTCTGGTCCTAGGTTTCTATGATTCAAGTGAGGGTCAATCACCAAAAGGAAAATCTACCACAGCTGAGCCCAATGAGCCTGTCCATTGCGGGACTTACAACAATGACAGGCCGAAGTCTATAGGTAAGAAAAGTCAAGAGATTGAAAATACACACTTGGACAAAATAGTTGCTACCTCATGTTTAGTGAAAGAAAATTTACAATAATCACTGAAACTACTTGAATCAGACAAAAGTGAAAATAACTACAAATTCCTATCAAGGTTAGAAAAAAGAAGTCATACATTGTTTTTCAACAATGCTTCAATAGAATGATTAGAAAAAAATAAACTCATTAAACAGGCCGGGACAAAAATGATGGTAACCTTAACTTAATATTTTGTGGCACTGCCTTTTGAGGCAATTGTTGCAATTAAAAATTCCTCCAACTGTCAATGAGACTTCTTCACCTCTCAGCATGTATTTTGCTCCAATTCTCAGAAGCAAACTGCTCCAGTTGTCTCATGTTTCAGCTACTTTTAAAGATGCTCAATAGGATTTAGGTCAAGGCTCATAGAAGGCCATACAGAATAGTCCAATGATTTCCTCTATTTTTAGCTGTGTGTTTTGGATCATTATGCTGTTGCAAGGCCCTTAACTTGGAATTGAGCTTTCTGACACTGGGCAGCACATTTCTCTCCTTAATTCATTCATAGTCTGAGATTTCATTGTACCCTTGAGAGATTTTAGACACTGTGTGTCCGATGAAGGAAAGTGACCCAGAATATTACAGAGCCTCCTCCGTGTTTTACAGTAGGGCCACTGCTCTTGTCTGGATATTCTTCATTTTTTTATTGGTGAACATAGAGCTGATGTGACTTGGCCAGAAATTAAAATTTTGTCTCATTTATCCATAGGACATTCTACCAGTTGTGGCTTGTCAACAAGTACTTTGCCAAATTCCAGTCTAGCTTTTTATAATTGTTTACAACAATGGTGTCCTCCTTGGTCTCCCATTAAGTCCATTTTGACTAATACAATGATACATGGTGCGATCTGATACTGATATTCCTTAAACTTTTAAGTTCACATTTAGTCTCTTTAGAAGTTTTTCTGGGCTCCTTTCTTACATTCATACTATCCGTCTTTTTGATTTGTCATCAATTTTCCTCCTGCATAATATGTGCAACGGTTGTCACAGAAACATCAAGCTGCTTGGAGATGGTCTTATAGCCTTTACCTTTAACATGCTTGTCTATCATATTATTTATAAATGTCTAAGACATCACTCCCTCTGGTCCATGTTGAGTGTGGTAGACACTTTGTGCGTCACGAAACAGCAAAGTGACTTCCTGTAGACCTATATATAGGCTGATAGATTGAGTACAATATTGTAGACACACCTTAATTTAGAGGTTATTTAAAAAAATCACTTTATAAACATTATGTAACAGTCATATGTGTCCTGGTGCCTGTGCATGAGGTTCACAAATAAAAAAAAACCCTTTCACTTCTACCATATCCTTACTCCACCTCTTATCTAATGTGTTCTGAAAATGCTGTGTTTGAAAGCATCCCCCTTATGATGTTGGAGAGGCGTGGCCTTTGGGAGGACGGGGTGTGGAAAGCCAGAACAGCTCATACAGAGAAAGGTTGAATGAGGAGATTTTTAGTAAAGGTCATCTGTCTAATCTGAGAGGAATTTTCCTGCGCAAATGGCAAAAACCTCCTCCGGGGTTCTCATTGTTAAAACATTTTATTTTCACATGTTGTATAATATGGGAGATTTATTGTTTCCCTTTGGTTAAATTATTAAATTCTTATTCTAGGGTTACCATAATTTTTGTCCATGTTTTTGCCATGAGTTTTAAAAAAATTCTGTTGAGGCATGGACCTATAGTCGGACCTGGATTTGTTAATTTTAATAAAATTCTTATTTATTATTAATTTGGCAGATTCTAGTTATCTTTCTGTGTTTTTTTTTCTTTTATTAAATAAGGGGTACCAACAATTTTGTCTGTGTGTTGAATGTGACACATAACCACCCTCAGCATCAAATGGATTGCTAAGGATTTTAAATTTAAAATGTTATACTATAAGCCAGGCATTCCCAAAGACTGTCCTCGAGGGCCGCTGTCCTGCAGGTTTTAGAGGTTTCTCTGCTTTAGCACAGCTGATTCTGATGACTGCAGTTCAGCAAAAGTCTGTTAATCAACTATCAATGTAGATAAGCTGTTCTGGAGCATTTTTAACACACCTGAATCAATTGAGTGGCTCGTTACCATGCCTATGTTGAGTAAAATGAGTGGATTGAGCCTTTAGCTTCAGGTGTGTTAGAGAAGAGATGCATCTAAAAGTTGTATGGTAGCTCTTGAGGACTGAACTTGAGAACCCCTGCTTCAAAACATTACTTTGGGGAGTTATTTACACACAAGTGGATGATTATTTACAAAGGAAGATGAGGTAGGAGGGGGTTTTCCAAAACTATGATTTGAAAATTGTGTCCTACGATGGATGTTGTGACCTTTAGATAGAATATTATAGCAGTTAAAGTGAAGTCTGTGTATGTGAAGTTTACATTCTACATCATGAGAACAACATTTTACTGTGAATAAACAAGATCCAAATATTTCTACCAGCTTTGTAAATGCAGACTAAAAACAAACAGACCTCTGACTGGGCTATTCTAACAAACAAATACACTTTGATCTAATCTAATTTATTGTTGCCCTGGCTGTAGGTTTAGCTTTGCGGTACTGCTGGAATGTGCAGTGTTAGTTTTCAGTATGAACACTACTCATGTTCTCTAATGAGCCACTGAGGCCTTCATTGAACGACTGTACTACTTGGAGATTACATTACACATAGTTGGATCCTATTTATTAAATAAGAGATTTCTGATGGTAGATTATTGCAATAGATTTGATTTATTGGCATTAGCTTATAGGAGACAGAATGCAAATTTATACCATAATTATGAGATTTCAAGTTTGAAATATAACGTTAATTAACTGAATGATGGTAAATGTTAAAATAAACTTCCACAAAGTTGCATTGTTGTCATCCCATTAACACTGAAGCCAATGTACTAAATGTAGCAAAAAAACTTTAAACTCTGTAAAGAGGTGCATATTTATACACATTTTTTTTGCTTCATTAATTTAGTTTACTATTTTTATAAATAATTTCCATGTGCTTATTATAGTCATGACAAAATTTTGGCTCACTCTATTGTTTCTCTCTAACTAGGAGACAGCTTCCTGCTGAATGGGGAGTTCGATGTATCAGTGGTTCGGCCCAGCCTTCCTCGCTCTTTTTCTGCACCTCACCCACCACTGGAGGGCATTGCAGAGGAGGGGTCAGTTATGGATTCTTGGCAGTGGGACCCCAGCATCGTCAGTCACTCCTGGCAGCAGCAGCAGCAGCCCACAGAGGATCAGATCTTGGAGGAAGACTACCAACAGGCATTCAGAGTGGAGGGTTACATCCTGAGTCTCATCCAGCGATACGCTCTCCTACCCCGGCCATGTCAGCCTCGCACTACTCTAACCCCTGACCCCCCATACTGTGGGGCCTCCACACACAGCTCCCAACACAGGAGAACTCCCTCTCTAACCACAGAGCAACGCCTTCCTGACCCCCATCCTCAGTCCCATGTTGACCTATCGGCAAACCTTAAGAGACAGGAATGGGGTTGTGACCTGCCAGAGGGGGAGGCCCGCAGGGCAGAGGCCCCATCTTTTGAGGAAGGTTGTTATTTGCCTCTCTCCTACCCCCAGTCCAGACCAAACCCCTTGACAGGGAGACTACCATCACCTCTGCCCTCTTTAGAGCCAAACTGTGGTTTAGGAAATCTTGACCTTTGCTGTGAACCTCCATCCCCCCAACATTATTTACATCCTAAGCCTCCTGTTTATCAAGTACACAATTTAGTCAGTGCTCAATATATTCCAGGACAGGCTTGTCATGCTCCTGTACGGTCCCCGAGACACTATAAGCCTGAACAATCAAAGGCCAGCCGAGCGACCGCCTCTCCTGACCACCCCAATTCAAAGTCCAAAGCTCCTAAAAAAAGTCACAATGATCGACAGAAATCCAAGAAAGCAAATAACAAAACCAACCGATCCCAGTCTGAAAACAGCCTCCCAGGACAGAGAGTGGTTCCTGAAAAGAGATACAACACCGCAGAAAGACGCCCAGGTCGAACCAATCCTCCCCAAAACCAAATCCAAATCACCCCAGCCCAGGTGGCCAATAAGGGTCACAGTGGAAATCGACGGTGGTGTTCCAACCTGGAGCTCAGCCAAGATGAGGGTGAGATCCAAAATGCAGCGCAGGCACATAAACGATCTTCTCGAAAAGCTCGCAATGGTCACTCTTGTTCCCAGTCCCATTCCCACCAGCAGCCTGCTCAACGTTGGCGCCAGGACTCTCAGGCCCGAGTCCCCCTCTGTCAGAGCGAGGAGGGCTACGCAGGGGCTGTCCCTGTTGAGTCAGAGTCTAGCATGAGTGAGGTGTACTCCCCGCCTTCCAGCTCACTTTCCAGTGATTCAGATGAGAGCGGAGGACTTGTGTGGCCCCAGCAGCTACCTCCCCGCCTTGCTTCTACATCTTCCTCATCATCCGCATCACCACAAGCTTCTGCCAGTGCTGCAACTCAGCCAAAAGCCTTTGTCAAAATCAAAGCCTCCCATGCTCTTAAAAAGAAGATTCTCCGATTCCGCACAGGGTCTCTTAAAGTAATGACCACTGTTTGAGCCAAATCCTGCTTTGAACATATACCATGAAGGTATTAAAATAACTCTTTCTACCTTCTACTTGGTCACAAATATTAAACTAAATACCAAAAAAAAAACTTACCTCGGCTGTACCCTTGATGAGATGCGTCAACCATAATGATTATTGCTAAAAATCTAATTTGACCTCCTTTCTGGTTGAAATTACAGAGAACTTGACAACCATTAGCTACTAGATTAATGGGCATCCTTCTTTTCATCCAGTTTGTGTTATCCTGTGCTAACAGCCATAAAAGCAAATGGTATTCAGACATTGTTTTCAACCATGCTTTAACAGAATTATTTTTTTAAAATGAACTCATGAAACAAGCCTAGACAAAAACAATGTTACCCATAGCTTAATATTTTGTTGCACAACCTTTTTAAGCTATCACTTAAATCTAAAGATTCCTAATACTGTTAATGAGACTTCTGGACCTCTCAGTATGTATTTTGGTCCACTTCTCATGAGCAAACTGCTCTACTTGTCATAGGCTTGAAGGGTGCCTTTTTCCAGCCTTCAAAAGGTCAGGGCTCATAGAAGGCCACTTCAGAATAGTCTAGTGATCTCCTCTTAGCCATTCTTGTTTGCGACTGAGACCAAGCTATCTGTCACCGGGCAGCACATTTCTCTCTACAATCCCGTGATAGTGGGAGATTTCGTTTTACGCTGGAGAGATTCGAGACAACCAATGCCAAGTGAAGAAAATCAGCCCCTGAATATTACGGAGCCCCCTCCATGTGTCACTGTAGGGGCAGTGTTCTATTCATGATATGTTTCTTTTTTTTTTTTTTTTTCTTCGTGAACATGAGCTGACGTGCCTAGGCAAAAAGTTAAATTGTTGTCCATTGGACATTCTCGCAGAAGCTTTGTGGCTTGTCAACGTGTAGTTTGGCAAATTCCACTTTGGCTTTTCGTTGTTCTCAACCATTGTTCTCAACAATGGTTTTCAACATCGGATGGTACAATCTGACACTGATGCTCCTTGAGTTTGAAGTTAACCTGTAGTCTCTGTAGAAGTTATTCTGCTCTTTTTTTTAACCATTCATTTTATCAGTCTGTTTGTTTCGTCACCAATTTTCCAAGGGAGGTTGGCCATCTTCTTTATTTATGAATAATATGTGCAACTGTAGCCACAGGAGCATCAAGCTGTTTGGATATGGTCTTTCTAACTTTTACCTTTAAAATGCTTGTCTAGAATTATCTTTATAATCCCCTGAAAAATTTTCTTTCTTCGCTTCCTCTGGTCTATGTTGAGTGTTTTGAACACCAAGTCACTTAAAAGCACAGTGAGTTGCAGTAACCCTATACATAGACCAACTGACTGATTACAATATTTTAGACACCTGTGTTTCCACTTAGTGGACAGACGTTGATTCAACATGTCCATTTGGTGACTTTATTTTCTTCTTTTTTTTTTTTTAAGGGCCACCATCATTTTTCCAGGCCTGTTCCATTGTTTTTTGTCTTTTTATCAATCTATTAGGTTTTGCTTTCCTTAAACTTGGGGTATCAATAGTTTTTTCTTCTATAATTAAGTTTATTAAAGCATTTTTTAAGAATTCTCTATCTGCAGAACAAACATGGAATCAAAACCCTTAGTTGAGTCTTTTTTCTTTTTTCTTAAAACAACAGGTAAACATTTCCGATATGAAGCAAAACTAATTTAATGCACAACACAAAATATTCTAGCTGTGTAAAAGAACCTCAAAATATTTAACCTACATTTAAGAAATTTCACTTGAAGAAGGAAAAATACATATTGGAACCACGAAGCAACAAAATATTACAGGTGCTGGTCATAAAATTAGAATATCATGAAAAAGTAGATTGATTTCAGTAATTCCATTTAAAAAGTGAAACTTGTATATTATATTCATACATTACATACAAACTCATATATTTCAGATGTTTATTTTGTTTAATTTTGATGATTACAAATGACAACAAATGAAAATCTCAAATTCATCATATCAGAAAATTAGAATATTACTGAAGACCAATAAAAACAAAGGATTTATAGAAATGTTGGCCAACTGAAAAGTATGAACATGAAAAGTATGAGCATGTACAGCACTCAGTATTTAGTTGGGCCTCCTTTGGCCTGTATTACTGCAGCAATGCGGCGTGGCATGGAGTCGATCAGTCTGTGGCACTGCTCAGGTGTTATGATAGCCCAGGTTGCTCTAATAGTGGCTTTTAGCTCTTCTGAATTGTTGGGTCTGGTGTATTGCATCTTCTTCTTCACAATACCCCATAGATTTTCTATGGGGTTAAGGTCAGGAGTGTTTGCTGGCCAATTAAGAACAGGGATACCATGGTCCTTCAACCAGGTACTGGTAGCTTTGGCACTGTGTGCAGGTGCCAAGTCCTGTTGGAAAATGAAATCTGCATCTCCAAAAAGTTGGTCAGCTGCAGGAAGCATGAAGTGCTCTAAAACTTCCTGGTATGTGGCTGCGTTGACCCTGGACCTCAGAAAACACAATGGACCAACACCAGCAGATGACATGGCACCCCAAACCATCACTGACTGTGGAAACTTTACACTGGACTTCAAGCAACGTGGATGAAGTGCCTCTCTTCTTTTCCTCCAGACTCTGGGACCTTGATTTCCAAAGGAAATGCAAAATTTACTTTCATCAGAGAACATGACTTTGGACCACTCACCAGCAGTCCAGTCCTGTTTCTCTTTAGACGCTTCTGACGCTGTCTGTGGTTCAAGAGTGGCTTGACACAAGGAATGCGACAGCAGAAACCCATGTCTTTCATACGTCTGTGTGTGGTGGTTCTTGAAGCACTCACTCCAGCTGCAGTCCACTCTTTGTGAATCTCCCCCACATTTTTGAATGGGTTTTGTTTCACAATCCTCTCCAGGGTGCGGTTATCTCTCTTGCTTGTACACTTTTTTCGACCACATCTTTTCCTTCCCTTCGCCTCTCTATTAATGTGCTTGGACACTGAGCTCTGTGAACAGCCAGCCTCTTTAGCGATGACCTTTTGTGTCTTGCCCTCCTTGTGCAAGGTGTCGATGGTCGTCTTTTGGACAACTGTCAAGTCAGCAGTCTTCCCCATGATTGTGTAGCCTATAGAACTAGACTGAAAGACCATTTAAAGGCTTTTGCAGGTGGTTTGAGTTAATTAGCTGATTAGAGTGTGGCACCAGGGGCCATCAATTTTGAACCTTTTCACAATATTCTAATTTTCTGATATGATGAATTTGAGATTTTCATTTGTCGTCATTTGTAATCATCAAAATTAAACAAAATAAACATCTGAAATATATGAGTTTGTATGTAATGTATGAATATAATATACAAGTTTCACTTTTTAAATGGAATTACTGAAATCAATCTACTTTTTCATGATATTCTAATTTTATGACCAGCACCTGTATATGGACCTGGATTCTGCGAGGTGTTGGCCTCATTTAAGAAAATTCAAACTTATGTTTTTATTAGTAAAGTTCAAATGTCCTCATATTGCAAATCTGCATTATACCATAGGGGCTTCTCTTGCACCATTTTGTGTATTTAGAACTCAATTGGAATATGAACGGTTTCCTAATAGACGGGTCCTTTGTACATATATGCAAGCACACTTTTTCAGCTACTGACCAATTTACAGATTTACACTTGCAGCTGATTTGTCTTTCCTAAAGAAGAGTCTAAACCTACCTTGCCCTAAAACTGGACTCATATATGACTAACAGTGCAATTTTGCATGATTTCTTCCATCTGTGATCTCCATTGGGTTTTGACAGGGTAAGGGATGATTCTTTTTTAGTTAAATGCTACTCATTCAAATGGCACTAAACATTTCCTTTATTTGTAACTGTGGATTATTTTTTTCTTTTCTGAGAAATGTTTTCATGTTTCCTGTCCTGCTTTCATGTCCTCCTTGGTATTGATATTTTCCTTTTCAGGCATCCTCATTTTAGACTTGCAAATTAAGACTTGCTCCAAATTATAGATATTACCGAGTTAGAAGTAAAATCTTTTGCCTCATGCAGTTTATTTACTTTCATGACAGAATTTTTTCCGACACTCTTGTGTGGGTAGCTGACGGTTATTTTGGATTGCTGTTTCCCTACCAGATCCAATAGGTCCTTAAAGTTTAGAAACACTCTCTTTCAATTACTGCTACTAATAATTTACATATTTCAACTTAGTTTTCCACTGATCTCTTTTATTCTTTCAAACACGCACAATATCTTATTCCAAGCTCTTCTTGGTAGTTACTAAAACCTTTTTATTGCTCTTGCTATGCATTTAAATCCCATAGAAAAGCATCTAATAAACAGATGAAAAGTAAATGTTTAACAAACAAGTACATTCAGCCCAAATATATGATTCATTAGCATTTACTTGTTGCTTGTTAAACTCTGAACTAGAAGTGAAACCTCAAGTTTTATTTTTAACTGCCCCTGTCTTCACCTCTTCTACCATGTGGATTATCACTGACATGTACGGATATTTTCTGTCTGCTACTGCTTCTCTACACCGATAAGCACCTATAAGTTGGCATCCGTGAGTCACAGGGTCTGGTAGATGTTATGTTATCAAACCAGTAAACATATATGCATGTTTTTAAATGTAACATAAATGCACAAGATCATTATAAAACACTGGCATCAGACAACACACAATTGTATATATATGTTTGCTTTTGTATATATCATCACGTGGCCTTGTTTGCAATGAATGTAGTATGTAAATTGTAATTTGGTCTCAATTTGGTACCTTTTTGTACACATTTCATTGGTTTTGCTTACTTTTTTAAGCAATTAATAATAAAAAGGATATGTTTTCAAGTAATAGAAGCAGTGCTTCATTTTTTAACAATTAAAGTAGCAATAGAATTTGCTGTCATTCTTTTCTCTTGGCATGTCAACCATCAACATATTTAGTCCTATTCTGGGGGCTGAAGCCCCACCAATATTTGTTCTCAAACCCCCCAAAACCAACCACCTTCAACATTGTCTGATCTGCTCTTAGATAAGGTAAGACATTGAAGTTGTAATGTAAATCAGGGGGCACTAGGACCAACATGAATGTTGCCTGTCACTGACCTGAGTATTCTAACCTACCGGTAAATGTAGAATACCACCTTCTCCAGAGGCCAGATCTGGATCAGAGTCATTTGCAGCGGTACCTCTGCCTATCCGTGAAACGATGAGATTGCATTCTGGAGCTCAGACAGGAGCAGGGGGAAATCAGTGCCTTAAAAAAAACTGCGGAGAGAAAACATAGTCGTAACTCATAAAAAAATTGTTAATATTAAAAGGTTTGGCAGCTAGCTGTTCACTATGAGCTATTCAGGTAATTACACTAACATGGGCTCAATGGACTATGGTCGCCTAATTCATTCTTTGTGTAGTTGGTTAGCAAAGGATTGATGTTTTGATAAAGACACAACTTTTTGTGACATGATAGAACTTATTTACATTATGACATAATAAAGATAGTAACACTTACAGTATAGTCTGTATTTATCTTAGACCATTTAATACATTTTAGTGTCAAATATATTGAGGACCTAGTTTTTCAAACAATAAATATAAGAAAAGTACTTTTCTTACCTCTATGGAGATTCTTAGGTGATCTTTGCAGCGGATTATTCTGTTTTGAAGTGTGCTCACATGAGCCCGAGCTACATGAATGATTACAAGAGTGCTGCACTTCTTTATTTTGACCGCAGGTTGTAGTATTGTTAGAATGTCTGCAAACCTACATAATGTCTGTTTAAATCCTCTTAGGAGCATTCCCGCTTCATCCTTTGTGAACATTATTGGGTGGTATCTTCCATTGTTAATTTTAAAAAACTTGTCTCTGCTGCACTTCTTTCTGTAGCTCACAGCCACATCTAGTCCCTGACTGGATTTCGTAAAGGGAATAGAAAGAAAAGTTCAGATTTTTTTTACTTCATTCTCAATCAAGGTGGGGATCAAATGTCGACAACTTCGCCAAAATCGTGCCTATCTAAATTTGCCACCTTTGCCTCGCTCAGCTTCACTCAAGGTCCACCTTCTACATAGAGATAACATGGGAATCCTTCCCCCCGGCTGAGAAATACGCGTTTGGTGTGAACATACTTTATGCTGCAGCTCTGCGTGGCTTGGGAAAATAAATTATCATAAATATTTGGAAGTCTATAAACAGCCCAGTCAGCAGCAGCTGCTGCCGGTCCGTTTTTTTACTGATATACATGACCTGCCTCCTTTGCAAAAGTCTCTGGAATTTGCTGCATGCCCATATTGTTCCTTTGATGCTAGACAAAATAATTTCAGTTTCTTTGCATTTCATACATTTCGTAATACAAAGCATAAAGGTGAAACAAACTGTGTATACATCTGTATCTTTCTTTTTAGAAATCAGAAAAAATTTGTAGGTCCCTGTTTTTTCTCCTCTGTGGAAAGTGTTCCAAGTGGGTCTTTAAGTGTCAAAGGTTGTTGAATGCTGGCCTACTGTTTCTTCAAACAATAATCTTTCTTAACAATCAATAATATTAGTCATAATAGTAACATTAAAACCAAACTGTATACGTTGACTTAGCACAGAGTCAAGTATAAAACATATATTTTTAGTTGAAAACTAAATATATGTCATATGCTAGAAATGTAGGGAACATTTACTTTTAAAGAAAAACACCTGGCTGTCACAGTGCACTTGAAATTGTTTTTTCTCACATATGCTTTTCTATAAATTACTTACTTTAATACACTGACTTCTTCTAATAATATACTCAAAATTATATGTTCATTGGGCTATTTATGTTTCATTTGATTAATAGATGGATATTAGATGATTCTTAAGCGAAACCATTTTTCTTAGTTCAATGTTTAAAGTTGTCTACTTAATAGTTAATTATATTCATATTGCAACTCCTCACTGATTACATGAGTAACGTTTAAACAAGTATTGGTGGCCCTGATATTTAAAAATGCTGAAATCCATCTTGTGAGATGTATGAGAAACATGAAAAAAATAAATGTTTTTACCCCAAAGAGCAGGCAGGAGAGACTGATGGAATGGAGGCCAGCAGACATAGAGTAATGTGAACCAAACTTAGCTCCAAAGGGTGCATTTTGCATGTAAAAGCTATCTGCTCAGGGCCCTTGAACTAAACATTTTTTTGTGCACACCTTGTCCATGCTAGCATCCGTCCCTCACAAAAAAAGGGAATAGGTCCAAAAGACGTCCCTTTTGCCAACAGAAAAAACGGTGAGTCCCTTGGGACATGCAGTGTCCTGGGGCAAAAAAAAACAAAATAAAATAATTGCAGCAGTAAATTGTTGAGAATAAATTATAATTGGATGTTTATTTTTACATAGAACATGACATTTAAATGTGTGGATAAACCAACGACAATGTCTTCTAAAAAATTTACATTCTTATATCAGTTTTAGAGCATTCAGTAAAACAATGATTTAAAAAAATCCTGCTCAACATTTTGAAAAAAAAAAAACATTTTATTTTGCTTTAAAAAGGAAAAAAACAGCTCAACTTTTTAAAGAATGAAAATAGTATTCTTATTTTCGTCCTTCCTATCTATTTTGAAGAACTGTCAAATATGAATGCTTTAGATTAAAAAAAAAATGCCTTCTGTCCATTATGCCAACAGAACACCTAATGTTTCCAAAAAATAATATTGCAAAAACTCTCAAATCATACTTTCCAGGTTGATCTTTTTATGTTTAGAGAATGTCTCTCTCTTGTGGCATGTAGTAGGTACTGCAACATTAATGACAAGCCTGCCCATTCAAGTACTGAGATGGAATGTTATGGGCATTGAATATTTTTTAATCGAGAAAAAGAAAAATTGCTTGCAAACAGAAACATAACTTCCAAATCCCAAAACTGATAACACATGAAAGAAGAAGTAGGCCAAATTTATAGAGTTTTAGAAAAGTGAGTCTTTGAATATCCAAAAATTATGCAAGACATTCTGCTTTGCAATAATCATTCTACCCATTTAGAATGAGGTCAACATGGACTGTCTGATGAAAATATGTGGATAAGCTTCACAATGGATTCCAAACAGAATGGCCTAAACAGATGCAGTTTTAACTCTTCTTAAATATATATCAACAGATATAAAAATTGAGTTTTGTTTGTAAAAATGAAGTCAATCAGATTTTGGTCGTCTCCTTCCCATTGCTGGTGCTCTTGGTGTCAACCTGAATGGCGCTCCCCTTCGACGCGGCATCCTCGGTGGGGAAGTGGAGGATTTGGCGGAAGGAGCGGCTCATGCTGTCTTTGAAGCTTTTCCCTACGCACACATAGATCAGAGGGTTCAGGCAGCTGTTGAAATATGCCAGGCAGACAGTCAACACATGAGCCAGGTAGATTCTTGGACTGTGGTGAGAACTCCGGCTCGTGGCCAAAACGATAAAGTCCATGATGTGTAGGGGCAGCCAGCACAAGAAGAAGGTCAGCACCACGGCGATAATGACCCTCAAGGTTTTTTTAGATTTGACCCGACCACGTGACTTTCCACTCTGAGTGGTGCTGTACACCACCAGGTGACAGATAATGATGACAAAGAGAGGAAGGATGAATCCCATCATGAAGCGAAAGGATGCAATTGGCCAGACAGTCTCTTTGGGGTATCCTAATACACATTCTCTCTTAATTTCCCCAACCTTAATTTGCTGTGCAAAGACAAACTGCGGGATGCTACCCACCAGGGCCAGGCACCAGACAATTCCACATGCCCATGCAGCTTGCCTGGAACGTCTGTGGTTCTGACACCAGATGGGTCTTTTGACCAGCAACAGGCGGTCTAAGCTGATCAGAACCAGTTGCAGAACACTACAGTACATTACTAAATAGAAGAGTCCTTTGACTAGAGTGCAAGCCAACGGGCCGAAGTGCCAGTGATCATCATGTGCCAGGGGCACCATGAGCAGAGGAAGGGAGAGGCAGCAGAGAAGATCAGCCAGCGCCAAATTTAGGAACCAAATAGAGGTAACAGAGCGTTTCATGCGGAAGCCAGTCACCCACAAAACCAGGGCATTACCGGGTACTCCAAGCAGGACCACAAGGGCGTAGAGAACCAGAGTAAATATCTGGATGGGAGAAATCTCAGGAACGAATTCCTCAGGAAATATAGGAAATGTGTAATTATCCCCAAAGATGTCATAGAGCTCTTCACCATCAGATATGTTTGGCACATCAGTAAAGTCCATGGTAAATTAAACCTGTAAGCAGATAGTAATTAATGCTGAATTCAAACACTAATAATACATTTTTTTTTAAACATAGAAAGAAATTGTGTCACTTAAAACTAATTCAGTTTAAATTTTTGTAAGGATTTGCAGAATAAACAAAATCAAACCAAGACGACTTGTCAGATTTCCTAATGCCTACTTACTGTCGATCGGTGTGTTGATGCTGCTCTCTGACTTTCAACAGGAAGTTAAGAAGTGGCTCCACTGCATTTATTAGTACATTTTACTCCTACCCCCTTCACACCCACAGTCACACACGTGAGAAACCATCAATATGATTGCATAGGAGTCAATGCCATGTTCTGACTAATGACACTTTAAGGTTCCCCGAATGATAACACAGAGAAATAATGAATCTGTTCAGCTTGGATAACTTTGGTCAATTTGAAGCATTTGCATTTTTACAATTTTGAAAGCTTACAAAGAAATGGCAACATGTAGGAGGGCATGAACTTTTTCAAGATAAAATACTGGCGTTTCCTGCATGGTGACAACAATTCAGGACGTAGAAACAGTACAATCTGTGCAAAATGTGTCCAGGTTGGTCTGTAAATACTTATAAACTATTTTAAGAGAAACAATGTAAGTACGGTAAGTAAAATATTAACTTTTTCTTTAAAAACTGTTTTTGTGTACATTTGCCTCAGCCATTTTTGTCTCTCTTTAATCATCCAAAGACATGAAAAAAAAAATTTTTGTCCCAATTTGCTTCAATGGAGTTGTAATATTTCTATGAAAATATTTCCCTTCCACTCAAAGGATTTTACTTCTGCCTTTTGATCATCTGCCCCATAAATGTGTTTATTTCCTTTTCTGCTGTGACATAGTTTCATTCAAGGTTTTTTTTATCATTTCCTGGACATACTTTAAGAGCTAATCTTTTATCTTTTGACATTTTTAGTCTTTTTGGGGGGGATGCTTCTGCTTTAAGAAGAAAGAATGAACATTTATCAATGATTTATATCTGAATTGTAATGTATTTAGGAGGATGGGGCTTTGGGGGCTTAAAAACAAGTACAGATCGCTCAAGTGAATTAACTAAGACTCCTGGAAAGGTGTCAAAACATGTTTAGAAAAGCTGAAGTGAAAGTCCGGTTGCATCCGACTTAACCCTTTCATGCATGAATTATGATAGTATATGTTATGATTTTTTTACCAAGTGTTTTTATTACTCTTTATGAATGAAAAAAACATTTTCATCAATTTAAAAAAAAAAAATGCTTTCTTTAGGGGGTTGCATAATGTCCAACTTAGTGGACACATTACTTACAAATTTTTAATAACACAGAATCAATTCTTGGAATTTATACTTGATACTTGATGTCCCCATATTTTTTTTACCTGCAAGGATCGCCTAGAATAGAAGGAATGAGCAGATATTCCTCTCCCTCACAACCCATTTGCTCCTCTGTCGGCCATTTTGTTTTTTTGTGGAAAAAAAAAAGTCACTTGCAAAGGCTGACGAGTAGGTGGCAGTTTGACAAGTGGCAGGATGATACATTAGCGTCCACTGTAGTAACATATGTGCAAATGTGACATTAAAACATGCTCATTTAAGAGAAAACAACCATTTAATAACTGTCCACTGTAGTGACCACTATGCATGAAAGGGTTAAGCCTGTTTTGTGGTTGAAGTGACCCAGAAGACAGGATTTTCGCAGGCAAGAAAAACTTGATTATTACACAACTTAAAGAGCCTGTCCTGTGGAGGCGTCTTATATGTCATTGGATTTCACCATTTAAATTTAAGAACAGAACGCTCTCAGTCCAGCCTGAACTTATTTAGTGTTTTCAGGTAATTACACTTAATTAAACACCTAAATTCTACAACAGCTTTATCAACTGTCAAGCTGGAGCAGGATTAATCAAGCTGTGTTTTACATGTTGATTTCCCATTTAAATGTATTGATGTTCAAATATAGGGAAGCATATTAACTCTGAAAAATAACTGGTATCACATGTTTACCAGTTTCACCTCTGAAAGTACCATCTTTTCCACATGTAAAACCTTTTCTTAATTGTAAAAAAATAAAATGTTATTTTAACCTCAAAACATGCATTTGTATTTATGTATTATGTATTTTTCTGTTAAGGGACTGTAGAGTCTCAATCTGAAGCTTAAAGGTATAGTGAGGGATTTTCTCTAAGTTTTGAAAAGCATCTCCACTTTAACAAAAATGGTTTCTGAATCCAGCAGATTCCAAAAACAGCTTCTTCCCCACCACCATCAGACAGCTGAATGTTGAAAAAAAACTCTAAATCATGTCACAGACTCTGCATCAAACTGACTATATCAACGCTCTTTTTGCACCATGTTTTTTTCTCCCACAATGTTTACATTTGATCACTGCTGCACTTAAAGAAAATAGAAATGTCATGAAAGCTGTACAAAATGAAATTTTGTTTTGTATACACCCTGTGTATACCAAATGACATGATTTGCCATTTTCCCACTATGTCAGATTAACCAGCGGTAAGTAAAAATGGGGACAAGAACGTAAGACAGCCTTACCTAACATATCACCAGAATGATTGACACTTAGGAGGACCACTTATTTTAGTGATCCACCCAGAAAAAGAACATCCTCCACTATACACTTTCAGCTTTAAGAGTGAAAGTAAAAGAATTAATTTAACACTGAAAACAAGAAAACAGTGAAAAATAAATCATCAAATAAGACACACACCTGCTCTTTGAAATGGAAGGAGAACAAATACTTTATTGTTGAAGTTTAACACAATAATGTATTATTATCCAAGTTTTTTCATATTTACATATTATTTCAGAGTTTAGCCTGTTCAAAAATGTAGCTCTTGTATAAGACTGGATTTATTAGATGATGTAAACAAACCAGCCCATGTAAACTAAAACAAAACCAACAAACTCCTCTGCAGGTTCTAGTTACGTAGACTGTAGCATGCATCTAGCTTCACAATAATTGACTAAATACCACATTCTGGAAAAGTATGTATTCAAATGATTTAACAAAATTACCCACTTGTGAAAGGAGAAGGGGCAGAACTTGAATGAAGGAACAAAAATGTTGCAATGTCAGTTTTTTTTTTCTCCTTTCCATCATTGAAAGCCTTTGAGAATGTGTGCCATGAAACAAGAAATGAAACACAAACCTTCAATGTCAGCAAAATATCTTTAAAATGTTTTTTTAATTTGTCTATTCATGTGCCACAATAATCATGTTCCCAGATTTAAAAATAAAATCCAAATCATTACAGTTGAGAAAACTGATCCAAGATGTCCTCATAGCCATTTGTTCTTGTGTTTCTTTTTTATGATACACTTTTTTATCACTTTGACATGTTTGCTATTTTGTAGTGTTCTTTTTCTCAACAATTATTGTCACAATTCATCTCAGGATATTTGCTCACAGCTTCAGCAGAGGTAATTAACTCAGTTGAAGGCGGGGGCACTGTTGGGAGGAAGTGTTGGTGTGTCATCTCTAAATGCATCAGATTGAAGATCTGCAAAAGAAATAAAAAAAATATGACACAGAGGTTAAGTTAGGTTCCATAGCATTGCAACATTCTACAGAGTAACTCCAAAAAAGCAACAACAAAAAAAAAAAAAAAACACTGGATTTTGTTTCCAAGTTTGAAGACGTATTGCCTCCTATTCATGAAGCTTTTTCAATTCGAAATGTAAGAAATAGCGTTGAGTTCGAGGCTTTATAGAGTGGACCAAAAACAAAGCCTTGTTTTGGTTTAGAAAACATGCTAATTGAACCGGACGAACGGGTCCACCCCTTTGGGTTTAGTTTCGTTTAGCTTCTTTGTTAGCCTGAAATAACCCATACTTGTCTATCTCTCTGAAATGGGGGGTCGTTAAGAAGGACTTGTTGGCCTGGCTGAACAGGCGAGGTGTTCTGTTACCCTGTTAGAGGGTGGGGTTTGCAATGATAGCAGGAAGGAATCATCTCAATCGCTGCATTGTAGGTTTTGTAAGCCGTTTCTGTAAGGTTTTTGTAAGGCCATGCATCTGTGGAGAGGTTGTTTGGTTTCTCCAGTATAGAGATCATAGCATTCCTCAATGCACTGAACTGCATTCACCACTATATACACAAACACACATACCGTATATATATATATATATATATATATATATATATATATATATATATATATATATATATATATATATATAAATATATTAGGGCTGTTAAATGATTATTGGCCTCCAAAAGGCCTCCAAAATGAAAGTTTGTGTTCATGTGCATATTTTGCCGGATAAAAATTTCATTTTTTTTTTTTATGCACACATGCACTTATTTAATATAAATGAGAAATTTTTATATTATTAAATTTATATAGAATATCTATTTTATATATATATAATAATTTCATGTAAAAATGCCATGGATGTAACTATTCTGCACTCTATTTATATGGAAAACCAAATGGTTTGAAAATCTGTAAAACAATTTCAGTGGCTGCGTCTTCCGAAGGCCAAATTCACCAGCTGATTATGTCACAGAGTGGCATTGTGGTCTGTTCGGATTCAAAGATTCCCCTTATTTGGCAGACAAATGCAGCTTCTTTTTTACAACTATTGAGAAATGGGAGAATTACTTGAAAAAGTGGCCACAGATAACCTATATGTGCATATTTATTTACATTGTTACCTTGGCGGCAATGTAATGAGCATTCTAAAAAGGTGTGCGGCCTACCAGTATCTCCACAGTAATTAAGTTGGTCATGTTTTATTAGAAGATATAGGATACAATCTTATCTTCGTTAAGGTGGGCATACACTGTACCATATTTTCAGTGGTTGTAGTCAGCTATAGCTCAAACTATACAACAAAATCAGATGGTCTACAGTCTGCTCTTAAAATATACGGCCCGATGCTCTGATGTAATTTAACTGCTCACAATGTACAACCATAAGCTACATATTGGACTCGAATAGATCACCTTGGTCGGACTTGTCTACAGGGAAGTAAAGTCAGAGAAGGAGAATATTTCCCTTATCTGCAAAAGTGCAATATGCAAGGTTGAGGTAAATCAGTTCATAACTCTGCTTCAACAGCAGGAAATAAACTCATGGCGGACTGACTAATTTTCAAACATGTTTGATTTTGATTGCAGTGGTTTTGAGAGGCTAATTGCCCATCATTACCCTCCGTAAAATACAGGATGTATACAAAATGAAGCTGAAACTGATTCCAATCCAAAGAAATTCTTGAATGAGCCCAAAAGTGCAAAAAAAAAAATCACACAATGTCTGTATGCCCTTAAAGCGGACATGGAGCCCAGCCAAGGCCTTAAAGGCCCTTATCACAAGCCAAGGTTTTAGTTTCAACATCAGGTAAAATTCAGATGGCTGGATGTTCAAGTGTTGCAGGAAAGGCCTATCTTGCAACCACACATCTGCAATGTTGTGAAAGGTACATACTGGTTGGTTTTTAGTTTTAATAATTGCATTAATTGCATTTAAAAGCATCAGCAATAGGTCCCACAATTGCAACCTCTTCAGTAATAAATCCCACACTA